AAATTGTGTTGAATTATTAGGAATGCGTGTAAATTTTTATTCGGATATCGTAACGGGTTTCAATCGCTACAAAAAATGACGTTCAAAAGTCGTGCTGTGGTACTTGTCTGCTTATTCCTTACAATCTTCTATTTTTCATCATTATTCTCGCATACTGACGCACAGAATCCACCGTCAAATTACTACTATGTGAATCCGAGACAGTATGAAAAAGTTGACGGTGTTGACCGATATTCAGCATTTATATTTATTGGTATGTATTTTCTGCTTTCTTTTTTTTTTTTGCTACTTTTACAATTTGATTTCAGAGGTGTTTTGTTGTTTAGATGGTGTATAATGGTGACTGAAATAATGGATACAAAATGAGAAGTGAATTAAAATTTGAAATTTTTTTACCAAATTTTTTTAGATTTGTTTTTTACATATCTTTTATATACGTATATTTATATATATAACGTTATACTTGCTGATTTTACTGCTGCTGCAGTACAAATTTCTCGCATCAAATTTTCAACACTACAGTTTTATTTGGTTTAATAATTGTGCATAGGAGATGAAAAAATGTTTTGATGGTTTAATGAAGACATGAAAAATTGTTTTTTTTTTTGCAAAAATATTTACACAAATTGTTTTTTTTTTGGTGTTGCTATAGTTAAGCCGGAATTTATTTGATGTAAAAATGTGTCTAAAGCATTGTAAAATTGGTTTTTTGTTTTTTTTTTTTCTTCTGCTGAAACTTCAATTTTAATCTTCAATTTTACTGCCTGTATTAAGTTTTATATTTGGTGAGACATATTTATTGCTGTTTTTTTTTGTCCTTTTATAAAACTAAACATCATCTAACTTTAGGTGGCGTTCCACGTTCAGGGACAACACTTATGCGAGCAATGTTGGATGCACATCCAAGTATCAGATGGTAAGTTTGTAGGAAGTTTATTTGTTTGTTTTGCTTTACTAGTTTGAAAAAAAAATTAATTTTTTAGAGTTAATTTTTGTATAGTATATCATTTTTTGAAACAATTTGAATTGTTTTTTTATTGATTGCTATGGATGAAATTTTTGAAAAGATTTCAAT